AGTTACTACTATAGTGATAGCACACCGTACGAGTCACGATACCCTCTGCTTGGGTGGGATGAGAACCATTCATCCATCCTGGGGAATATGTACCGCAGTGGTACTTATCAACACATGATGTCGCTATGGCAGTCCCAGCATCTCCCATGAAGCGATACCATCCAGGGGTGATGTCGTACCTATCACAATAGTACGTTGATCCACGATAGCTTGCTGCTCGGTCTGTTGTGTTCAGCATGGTGTAGTTTCTGCATGCTTTATTAAAATATTTTCAAGTTAGTAAAGTTATTGCTTTTGACACATAGGTGCTTAAAAGCTTTAATATTCGTTACATGCTTAATGTAAAAACAGGTTTATTACGTCACGCAGTCTACACAGTTGTCGAATGCTGAGAAAGATTCCTAAATTTATTCTATATGACGATTAAACTGGGTCCATGATAAAGCTGCTTAATTTCAATGTATCACTGATGATTGTCTTTTAATCAAACAAAAACAWTATCATCATCCTTATCATGCAATTCCTCTTMATTGAGCTGTAACACTAATATTTCAATAGGTTATTGTTTACCAGTGGGATAGCAGGTTACAAAGACGTCTTCACCATGACCACAGTTGTGACTTCCCCATCCACCATGTCTACACAGTTGAATAGCACTCTCGCTGCCAGAACATCGTACATCATCAAGCCATATCTGTCCTGTTCCTCCTCCACTGTTATGATAAGAAAGGGCATCATCAAATCCAAGCTGACGACAAACCACGTGGGTGTTGGTCATGGACCAGCCATCGTCACACACTGTACCCCATACTCCATTATGACGAACTTGTAATCGACCAGCGGACCCTCCTCCTTGAATGCGCACCTCACCTAACATAGAAAAATATGAAAGTTTAAAACAATATAGGTATAATTAAAAGTATTATGGTTGGGCCTTCATTGAAAGAATGTTGAATCAAAAGATCTCCTTTTCAGATTCGTCATTTCGTCATTTGCTTTGGTATTAAATACAATGGTCTATTACTTACTGTCACATACCTATTTCACATTGACTACCGTTGTATCCATTAGGACAGGAGCAGTAATATCTTCCATTATAACCATTGCTACAAGTACCATCATTATGACAAGGGCCACTGTTACACGGGTACATGTCTAGATTAAAAATGAATGCATGATTTCTAATGATAGAAAAATATATAAAGTACGATCGAAAAGTCAGCGGCTTTCCATCTCAGAGCACATGGAAATAAAATTCTTTTCTTGAGTTTCATGGAATCAGCTGGACTTGGAAACTATTAAGCCAAATTAAGTAAATTGATTTGAAAAATATGGTATTTAACATCATAATGTTTTCCCAGCAATGACATCGGGGTAAATGTCATCAAAGATAAAGATCAGCAATCTCTTGAACACCGATCAAGACCAAGTCAAACGCTCAACACAAGACAAGAACACCTTCATAGGACTAATAAGACAGAACTTTGGTTCTTAACTTATATCTCAAGTCCACGCTGATCAATGAATTTTATTACATAATGGAAAGAAACTGATACTTATACTGATTTCAGAACACGTGTCATTCCCAAGAGTATCATTTCCTTTTTAAAGGCTGCGCATGATAAGACACCTCAGAATGTCTTACAAAGACCCAGTAAGTACAACATAAATCTAGGAATATTTTAATACGCGCGACTCACTTGTTTCACATTGTGTCCCGCTGTAACCAGATGGACAATAGCACCTGTGACCATTTACTGTAATAATACACGTGCCTTTATTACGACAAGGACTACTTGCGCATGTGTTTTTCGTACCTGAAGACGAAATGTCAAACACCATTAGAACTACTTTTAATACTATTCGGAAAACACGTATGTATTTTGTATATTCTACAAAACAATTACACTTTTTGATGTTCAATAACAGAAAACATACTTTGCATCTATAAGGTGGACATACTTTCATATTAACGCCATAACAAACTTCATTAGCTTGGAATATATACTATTGAAACGAAGTCTTCAATATTCRAAAAATAAAGAATAGTTGGAAAATTCGATTAACTT